GCCCAACTCCAGCAGATAAGCCTGGGTCGCAGCCAGGGGACCTGCAACGCGTTTCCAAGGGTGAGCCACCTCGGCGAGCCTGGTCCAAAGGCTGGACCAAGTGCTGGCAAATTTATCAGGATCAGAGGTTTGCCATCGACGAAAAACACGCGCAACAGCCCTTATGTGCTGACGCAACAAGGTCAGGTGCGGATCTTCACATTTGTGCCGCATGAGCCAGAAAGTTATGTCAAGGGAACCAAGTTTTTGTCTGCCAACGTGTTTTGCGCACAACGTACGGTAGTATTTGCGGCGTTTAGGGCTCACCCCCACCGCGGGGTGACCCCATAAGCCAGCTGAGCAAACAGAAGCCCGCACAATACGGATGCGATGGGCAGAATTGGTAATCTTGAGCTTGTCAAGTTTTTTGGCACGCCCCATGGCCTTGCGCCGTCTTTGCTCTGCAACTCCCAAAACACGGCGTCGAGCACCACCAGAGGATACCCCGAGGTCACGTGCCACAGTTTTGACTTTGGGGTCAGTGGGCTCAAGAAGGGATTGTAGGGCTTTAGCCGCCGCTGGCGAAGATGCAACAAAAGCAGATTTGTCAACTGACAGCTTCGCACCTCTAGCCTCTAAGTCTCGCCTCAAGCCTCTGAACAACACCAAACTGTCACTGGCAACTTGCGAAGCCGACTTACTTATCGAGTCTAGGGACAGGTCATCAATCCAGATATCAAGATTGCTGACGCTGCGCTTAACCATCAGACGCTCAGCTATCGGGTGTATCACCAGCTTCGAGACAGAGGGCGCAGCTGGACAACCAGCTAACACCCCCCTCGAGGGAAAGATTGGAGGACACAAAGAGCCCTCTGACTGAACAAACCTCGGCCCCAGGTAAGTGAGAACTGCCTGGTGAAGGACTAGCGGCGGATAGCCGAGTTGGAAACCTGATCGGATGATGTCGTCAAACCGGCAGCGGTCGTAGAAAGTTTCCAGGTCAAGAAAAAGTGTAATCAAGTGATGTTTCTGATGCCTCACCGACTCCCCCAAAACCAGCCTGGAAAGCGCCACATCCAAAACTTGACTACCTGGGACTGCTTTGTCCCAGGAAGCCTGCCGGGAGTAGGCCCGCTGCCAATCTGCTACAAGCTTCCACCGGAGGCGAACCCACGAGCGATACAAAATGTGCATTAACGCAATGGGTCGTTCTCGCTTGTCACTTTTCGGCAAAAGAGCGATTAGGGAAAACACAAACTGATCCGGCCACGACGCTTCAAGCTCACAGTGGCGGAAAAAGTCAAGGATTGCCTGCACTGCGTTTGGCTGAAGATTGTGCAAGACTTCACATGTCCATCCATCTAAGCCAGGGGCTTTAGTGGGTACTTTCTTGAAGTACGCAACCGCTTTATCTAAAGGGATGGGGTCAAGTGACCCGGCTTGTTCAACAGCCCTGCGGCGAAGCTCGCAAAGCAACTCAGGATCCACATCCGTAGGCTGCGTCCACAAGTCGAACCACTGCCTCCATCGGAGGTAAATGCGCTCCTGAACCGGCGCATCCGTAAAAGGTCTGATGTGGATCGCCTCTTCAGCTTTGACACTCCTGAAAAGGGGCCTCATGCCCTTCTGGGAGGAGTGTTTCAACCAGCATATGTAGGATGAGCTCTTTTGTTTCGCCCACGCCTGGGCATGATATTTACGCTGCTCACGCGCGACCTGGAGTAAGGGCTGGACCAACGCTTCGCTATGATCCCTGAGCAGGGCTACCAAGTCTGCAACGAAAGCCTCCTGTTGTGAATGGTTGCCATGCCACATTTCAGGTATACGCTTGGCGGCCCCAAGAGCAAAGGAGCTTGCATGGAACTTTCTTACGCAGGCTTCAAGCCACACCACAACTCTATTCCAAAAGGACGTTTCTGAACCCCCCCAACTTGCAGCCGGCATGACTGGAGTCAGAAGTTTGCTTCTGATCATCTTTGGGATGCTTCCGCGACCTTGCATGACACCGAACACCGAAAGCTCGATGGCCCCACTAAGGTTAGCGAAAAAGCCGGAAAGATCATGATTAACAACGCGGACCCCTAGCATCATAGGATTCTGCGCCGGCTGAAATTGGCACCCCGGCTGGCCAGCCGAGTCGGTGGTGGCTTGGAGGGGATGAAAAGGTTGAGGTTGCACGGGAACAGACTTAAATCGGCGTAGTTGCGGCAATTTTACCTCAAGGTGCTGCAGACTCAAAGTCCAATGCAAAGCGGCGTGAGGCGCAAACGGGGTAATCCAATCAAGATTTAGGCTCGCACCTGTCGCAAGGCAGGGCGACAGCAGGCCAAAATCAATGTTGCCACCGCCGGCGCACGTGGACTCACCCGCACTGATCCACTGACCTTTGGCTTCCTGCGCAATGCTGGTACCAGCCAAGATTTCAAAATCCTCATTGAAGTCGCCAACCGCAACAAATTCTCCGCGCACCGATCGCAGGAAGGGAATCAAGTGTGACAAAATCAGGGCATTGGTACTACTCTGAAAACCCTCCCCTGCCTTGAGGTAGACATTAACAAAAAAGCAATCAAAATTTCGAACGCGCATGGCAACTGCTTGGAACCCGGTGCCTTGGTGAACATATTGATGCACAGTCCTGACGTCCAAATGCTTACGATAGCACACTGCAAAGCCCCCTGAAGTGCCACCACTGCCAGTGGGGTGACCCGGGACACTTAGCACATTATATCCAAACGGCGCCATGTGAGTAGCAATGAGATCGCCCTGGTCCGGGTGGACATGTGTTTCCTGGAGGATGCACACAGACGGGCGGCGCTGCCCTATCCAGGGTGCCAGGTCTTTGCGCCACCTGGTCACATTGGCACTTACGAAGGTCAAGTTTGATCTGGCTGGCTTGGTGCCAAAATTCGCAAGGACATCCTCAGCAGCCCAAGCGGCAACATGAGTGGGAACATCAAACCTACTTTGGATCGCTAGCTCAGCAGCTGTCCAAGCAAAGGTACCCTCATGCATGTGACCACCCTTTTCCAAGGTCTCAATGGCATCCAACAATTTTTCCTCATTACCCTGGTGAATGCTTTGATGCACCTGCTTCCACATCTGAGCCGCAGCGGCCTCAGCTGGTGTTAGCCGCTGCTGTCCGGATCGGCCAATACGATGTGAACTGCAATCGGCGCGCGCACCCACCACCCGTGGCATTGATGACGCTTCAGCTGGGCATTCCTGTCCGGCCTCAGGGCACCCCGGATCACTTAAACCCGAAAACTCACCAGCAATAGGAGTGGCTGAAACAACTGCAGACCCTGCCTTGTATGAATTTTCACAAGCTCCTGGGGCAGGGTCTACAGTTGGTGTTGAAAAGGCTACAAATGGGTCCAAACGGCATTCCACCGCACTGAAAGGCTGCTCTACCTTGTAACTCAGAGGAGCTTCCAAGCGTCCAACCGTGGATAGCAAAGGCTCTGAAGCCCTCAGAGACTGGACGCTATGGCACCCTGGCCTGGGAGGGCTCACCTGAGGGCCACCTGTTGCCGCACGCTGAACCAAGGCATCTGGAGGAAAGTGAGCGCTCCGGCCACCCTGCCGAAAATTGGGGTTAGGGCCGCCGGACTCATCCCCAATGCGAAAGCCCTGCAAACAACTATTGGTACTGGGGACATCGTCACCCTCATCTGCGAAGGAGCCTGGGAAGAAACGGGGACCAGACAAGTGCCAGGATTTAGGTGCCCTCTGCTGGCGCATGCGAAACAACCCAACATCACCTGACTCTGATCCCGTGTGATCCAGGGCCTGATTGGCCAAGCAATAAACGCACTTATCATGCATCTCATGCACTAGGCAATCAAGGTCCTGCACCTCATATTGCATTTGGACTGTTTGGCATGCCATGGTGAATCGTGCAACCTGAGGCTCGCGACTAAATGCGCATGCTGGCTCACACTCACAGCTCAAGCATATGATTGGGTTCATGCCCGGCGGTCGCTCACGTGGGCCTGAATTTTCAATTTTCCGAGTGCCGCCCTCAAGGCGCACATCGGCCAAAACACAGTTGCGGTCTTCTGCTGGTTCAAGAGAACCTGACTTAACGCCTCCAAGAAACCCTAGAACCCCTCGACCCTTGCACAACAGATTGCCTGCACTACGTGGAAGGTGGGCCCTCATCGTCAAGGAACGGCACTGTGAAGAAACGGTATGAGCCACATGCACAGCACAAGTCTCACACAGAGCTGTCACCAGCTGGCCTGCATACCGAAACAACCTGTAGGTTTCAAAACTGTCTTCAAGGCAAAGATCGCAGCACAGAGCCCTACTCAGATCAGATGCGCTGGCAGAAGGCCCCTGAACTCTCGTGCCTTGCAGGCCTTGTTGCACACTACTCACGACGGCCGAAGCCCCACCACACCGCAGAGTGATCGGTCGGGCTTCAGTGTGGGTAAAACTGTGAGCAGCTGTCTCAAGGAGGTGCAAGGCATGGCACCAGTCAGGTTCACCCCGACTGGGGCTGAGGTTGGAGGTGACATGTGCAACATTGTCCTGGGCCGGTGCACACGGGCTCGGAAGGGGGATGGTAAGTTTGGCCTCCTCCGGCGCCTGCATGTGCGGTCCTTGCAGCACATATGGCTTCCGAGTTTGATCGCTGGAATATTTCCGAGTGCAGCTCACATCGGGCAGGTGTTGCTGAGAAACCTGGGTCAGTTGACCTGCCCCTTCAGGGTGTGACGCAAATGAATGCAGAGTAGGAGTGCTGCAAGCATGGCGCACATCCTGTACTAGGAGCGGCTGTTCAACTAAGGCAACCTCACCAATTGAAGCATGCGAAGCGGGAGACTGACCTTCAGGAAGGGGCAGGAATTTTGCCACTGGGCATGTGCGGAGAGGTTCATCTGGGATTGCCCGACCCACATGCTCGGCATGGTCCTGGCCAGCACAGCTGGTAGCTGACGCGGCCTGGGACAAACACAGATGACAAGTCGCGATTGAACGCATGTGCCCTGAGGCAGAACTCACACTTCGTGAGGGCGCTAACGGCGAAGCACAAATAGCACACAGGAGCTCAGGGTCTTCAAAAACCGGATCTTCCAAAACTGCAGCCCTGGAAACCGGGCTAGATGCACTTCCATCAGGCATAGTTTGCACTGCAACGGTTTCATCCGAAATGCATTGCACAGGCACTGGGGACTGCGGAGCGGAAGTGGAGGCATGGTCTCGCTGCTGAGGCTGCTCACTGACACTACTGCAAGTACTGGCTGCACCCAAGAGCGTCCCAACAGGCCTAGAAACACGCCTGGCGTCCCCTCTGAACCCTGGCCCTGAGCCCTGCCCCTACTGCGCGAACGATGCTTGCCCTCTCGCGGTCCATCCGGCCAATCAGCAGGAGGCTGGGCACCCTGCGGCTGGGGAGCCGATGCTAGCATCTCTTCCTCCGTGTTATGCGGTTTCGGTGCAACGAGAGGCGCAGGTTCCACATCCATGCTGCCTTCAAGAAGGGCCTGCTGCTCGCTGCTGAGGGTGATGCCACACTGCGTTAATGCCAGAAGGACGGCCTCCTTTCCTGGCAAAATCGGCAACCCGGCTCCAGATTGGACCTTGGACTCCAGTTCCTTTTGGAGTTTGGTGACCTCCAACTGCTTATCAGCCAATTCAGTCTGGACAGCCTTCATTTGGTCCAGCAGATCTGCATACGTGGCTTTGGCACGGTCGATTTTGACCTGCAAGCCTGCAGATTTCTGAATGAGTTGACGAAGCTCATTCGTGCTTGCCTTGAATTTCTTCGTGGCTGACAAAACTTGCTCAGTGGCCGAAGGTTCCGGCTCTGGCGGCTCAAGACTGGCTATTGCTTGCCTAAGCGTCTCCGGGAGCTGGTCCATGTGCGCGTTGATCAGTGTCTTCAAATCTGAGGGCTCCGACGGGCTGGGGCACTGAAAGCCGAGCTGATGAAGCCATGCTCGCTGCTCCGAGCTTGCCGATTCCCACAAGGCCTGATGAGCTGAGTCATGCTCTGCCGGCTCACTCTGCTTCCCTTTGCCTTTGCCCTTTCCTAAGTGCCCTCCCGCCCCTAACCTGGGCAGGCCAGGGGGAGCCTCAAGCTTCGGCTCAGCTTTGGGCTTCCATCCAGCAGCAACCAGACCCTGCTGAACTTCCGGCGTAAACTTCTCCCAAAGAAAATGCAACGCTTTGTGGATCTTGCCGTCCTGACGAAAACCTTTCGGCTGCACAGCTTGTTGGGATCGCCAGACCCGCTCAGGTTTGGAGCTAGGCTGCTCCTTGTACTTCGGCCAGCGACCACCGCACAGGTGGCAGGTTTCAGCTTTGGCAGCTCTGTCACAGAAAATCCATGACGCTGGGCCGCACTTCTTGCACACAAAATAATGTCTTTGCTGCTTCATGCCAACTTGCCGGCGCAACTTCGGCCGCGATTGCTGCCGCTCTTCAAGAAAACTGTACTGCAAGAAAAGTATGGCAACAAAACTAAGGGCGTTTTTGCAAGCAAGGCCCTCAAAACAAAAGTTCCCTTTTTCAAGAAAATCAAGCGGACTGTGCAAGCAAGATTGTCCAAGTGTTCAAGGGAAATGCAATGGCTCAACTACGCGCTTCAGTGTCGGCCCTGAGCCTCCACTGGAAGAGACCGCTACCCCGCCCAACCCTTGCTGGACAGCCAGCCTACGACCTTTAAGGTTGCGGTTTGGGCCCGGTAGAGACCTCTAGGAAAGTAGGCCCCAAGGCTGGCCACGACGGCACTGCGTGCAGCGTTTTGAGCCACAACTTGAGCCAGCTTGAGCCAGGTGAATTTTACCACACGAAAGCGGGCTGCGTCGCTAGCCAGGTTAGGCTCTTCGGAACCGAAGTTCCGGAAAACATTAACTATGCACAGAAAAGGAAAAACTCTCGAGGTGTCCTTGGCCTGCTTAACACGGCCGAACTATGTGCAGGGAACACCGAGAGAAAGCATTGAGGGCTTAACCAGTTCCGCGAGAAGCTCGGCGGCCTACGGCTACTCACTGGTTTGGCTCTATACAAAGCCCTAGGCAAATGTTCTGCAGGTTGAACTGCCTGGTCTGTACTGCCTACCCTATAAGCCCTGCCTGTACAGGGGAGAAACTCACCCACATTCGGCTCACTCAGAAAAGGCAGAAGGTCCGGAACCGACACATGGGCAATGCCTGTACAAACTGCAAACAAGTGGATTGGCAAAAGTCGCCAACCTCCGGAACAGGCCTAAGCTTTCTCGCACTTACTAACCTAGGCCCCAGAAACTCATGCCGCAGCAGCACTGAGCTCCTGTTTGCCCCGTATGCTGACCTGGTTTTCTCGCACTTACTCACCAGGGAGGAAGAACCAACTTTCTCGCTCTTACTCACTGATTCAACCTCAGCGGCTCCAGAGGAACCCACACCACTTGCACGCAGGGAGGGCTTGGTTGATTTGGGCATCTCAGCTGGGCAGGCTTTCGGGCACCGAGCCACAGCTTTTAACCTCCGCAATCTGGTGCCTCAGGCTGTCCGTCAGCCTAGGTTTTGGTCCCTAACAAACAACGCCTGCCGCTAGGCTCCTCCTGGCTGGGCTTGCACCACCAGGAGAAAACAACACACCCTGCAGGGACAGCAAAGGAAATACTCAAAGGCCAAACACGGGTAACCCCAAACTGATGCAGGGCATCATGCCCTCGGCCTCAACCTGCCGGTGTACTTGGATCCTCGTCCGTTCCTCAACATCTCAGCGCGCAACCCTCCCCTCATCAACCAGTGAGGATCTACAGGGACCGGTACTGACGTTTTCCGTGCGTGCGCTGCGTTTGCGAGAACCCCGTGTTGGGCCTGAAAGTACCCGCAAGCACCTGAGCCCGAAAACCCGGTCCAGCGGTCTGCTTGACAGACCGAGCAAGGGTGCCGAACCGGTGTCAGGCTGAACACAGGCCGCATCATGGCGGCCAGTCCTGCCGGGTGTCCAACGGAACAACTGCGAACCTATTCCGTTGGATGGAAAAGGGGGTGCCGGGACTGGGCACTGAACTGCTTTCGCTCTAACCTGCTTCCTTATGCAATCATTGCAAGCAGTTTCGCTTTGATTTGTACATCCTTGCTTGAAAAGGAGAGTCTCCTCTATGACAATGGATTCCGGAGGGGAGAGTCTCACCCTTGATTCTGGCAGGGCATAGCTCCTGCAATTTGAGTGGGTTGGGGCCGTATTAGGTCAGACCTCCCAGGGGATGTCTTCCAAGTCTTCAAAGCCACACTCAAGCCATTCACTGCTGCATGCTTCTTCTGGGGAGTCTAGATCCTGAGAACACCCTTCCTCAAGGAAGGTCCAGCCATGTGCGCTGGCTGCAGAAGACAGCGGCGCCAGCGAAGATTCTACGGGCTCCGTACCTTGGTGACCTAACTGACGCAAGTCAGCCAGGGAGGCATCGTCCAGAAACACCTGTCTCCTGACTGCTTGATCGAAGCTCGGCCAGCTCCACGTGCACTCCAGGAAGTTTTCAAGACAAAGGGCACATTGGAGCTCGATGCGTCTTCCATCCTCTCCATACAAGATCGCTGGTTGCCTTTCCCCAGGACCAGGCACGAAGTTGAGGTTATGGGTTGGAATGTTACCACAGCCAGTGCAATTGAAGTTCAAAAGGCGAAGCCACTGCACGGGCGGGTCGCCTCCCGTGCCCCCGTGGAGCTCTGCTGGGTCTTCCATTCGGACTGTTTTGCCGGATTTGCTGGTGCGAACAAAATACACGCTGCTGTCCTCGGAGAGGAGCAGCCACTCTTTCCGGCCCTTGTGATGCCAGCGAAAGCAGAGTGCTTGGTGGAAAGTCCTGCTTTGGCTGGGACCACAATTGGCTCTATGGGCCCAAGTTCGCTCTACACTTGCCAGGTTGCTCGAGCTTCTTACCTGGTCTTCCAAAGCTGGAGAAACTCCACAGCCGGCTGTAAGAGGACTCGCATAAGGGAAGAGTTCCCCAAGCCGGGCTGCTTCGCCCTCCAGTCGGGCCGTGCCTTCCTTCTGGCTCTCTGCATCGCAAGTTGGGTGAGAAGACTCCAACCCGTCACTTGTTGGCAGTGAGGGTCTCGACTGCACAGGTGCTCTGGACATGGCTCAAATGAAGGCTGTGAAAAAGCAGGCCTGGTACCCAAAACAGTTAGGGGACTCGAGGCTGGTTCACACAGCTACCGCTCTGCTACCTGTGCACCCCACCGGGGTTGAGCCGAGACCTTGAGCCAAGGTGAATTTTACCACTCGAAAGCGGGCTGAGTCGCTAGCCAGGTTAGGCTCTTCGGAACCGGAGTTCCGGTAGGTATTAACTATGCACGGAAAAGGGACTCTCGAGGTGTCCTTGGCCTGCTTGACACGGCCGTACTATGTGCAGGGAGCACCGAGAGAAGAAAAAGGGCCTAACCAGATCCGCGAGAAGCTCGGCGGCCTACGGCTACTCACTGGTTTGGCACTGTACAAAGCCCTAGGCAAAATGTTCTGCAGGTTGAACTGCCTGGTCTGTACTGCCTACCCTATCAGCCCTGCCAGTACAGGGGAGAAAATCACCCACTTCCGGCTCACACAGAAAAGGCAGAAGGTCTGGAACCGATACATGGGCAATGCCTGTACTAAACTGAACGCAAGTGGCTTGGCAAAGTCGCCAACCTCCGGCACAGGCCTAGGCTTTCTCGCCCTTACTAACCTAGGCCCCAGGAACTCATGCCGCAGCAGCACTGAGCTCCTGTTTGCCCCGTTTGCTGACCTGGCTTTCTCGCACTTACTCACCAGGGAGGGGAACCAGCTTTCTCGCTCTTACTAACTGGTTAACCTCAGCGGCTCCAAGGAGCCCATACCACTTGCACGCAGGGAGGGCTTGGTTGATTTGGGCAGCTCAGTTGGCAGGCTTTCAGGCACCGAGCCACAGCCTTTAACCTCCACAACCTGGTGCCTCTGGCTGTCCGTCAGCCAAGCATTGGTCCCTAACAACAACGCCTGCCGCTAGGCTTCCTCCAAGATGGGCTTGCACCACCCGGAGAGAAACAACAGCACCCTGCAGGAAACTCAAAGGAAATCCTCGACAGGCCAAACACGGGTAACCCCAAACTGGGTGAGTGGCGGCAAGCCCTAAAACCTCAATCGGGTGGGAAACCCGCTTGTTCTCAGCTACCGGAACCTCGTCCGGCGTCTCCCTGTCCATTCCAGTCCCCTCAGCGCCCTCCCTCCCCTCATCAACCAGTCAGGATCTTCAGGGTGCGGTTCTAACGTTATCCTTTCGTGCGCTGTGTTTGCGAGAACCCCGTGTTGGGCCTGTGGAAGACCCACAAGCACCTGAGCCCGAAAACCCGGTCCAGCGGTCTGCTGCACAGACCGAGCAAAGGGGCCGAACCGGTGTCAGGCTGAACAAAAGCCGCATCGAGGCGACCTGTCCTGCAGGGTGTCCATCGGAACAACTGCGAAAATATTCCGACGGATGGATCAGAGTACGTGCCGGGACTGAGCACTTCTGCTTGCATTCTTACAACCTGCAACCTTATGCGATCATTAAAAGATCCAATTCTATGCAAGATTCTCCGTGGTGCCCTATGGCACTCTCAGTTTGGGAACGGACTCACAGGACCGTCGCTGATTGGACGGGGAGAAGCTTCACCCGTGACAAAGGGATTCCGGAGGGTGAGCATCTCACCCTTGATTCTGGCAGGGCATAGCTCCTGCAATTTGGGTGGGTTGGGGCCGGATTAGGTCAGACCTCCCAGGGGACGTCTTCCAAGTCTTCAAAGCCACACACTAGCCAATCACTGTTGCCTACTTCTTCTGGGGAGTCTAGATCCTGAGAACACCCTTCCTCAAGGAAGGTCCAGCCATGTGCGCTGGCTGCAGAAGACAGCGGCGCCAGCAAAGGTTCTACGGGCTCCGTACCTTGGTGACCTAACTGACGCAAGTCAGCAAGGGAAGCGTAGTCCAGAAACACCGGTCTCCTAACTGCTTGGTCGAAACTCGGCCAGCTCCACGTGCACGCTAGGAAGCTTTCTAGACAAAGGGCACAGTAGAGCTCGATGCGTCTTCCATCCTCTCCATGCAAGATCGCTGGTTGCCTTTTCCCAGGACCGGGCAAGAAGTTGAGGTTATGGGTTGGAATGTTACCACAGCCAGTGCAATTGAAGTTCAAAAGGCGAAGCCACTGCACGGGCGGGTCGCCTCCCGTTCCCCCGTGGAGCTCTGCTGGGTCTTCCATGCATCTCCATTGCCCACAAGGTCCGGCTCTGACTGTTTTGCCGGATTTGCTGGTGCGAACAAAATACACGCTGCAGTCCTCGCAAAGGAGCAGCCACTCTTTGCGGCCCTTGTGAAACCAGCGAAAGCAGAGTGCTTGATGGAAAGTCCTGCCTTGGCTGGAAACACAATTGGCTCTATGGGCCCAAGTTCG